CAGCGGCAGCCATCTACCTTTCCCACACCTCAGTTTTGCTTAGGGACTCTGTGCCCATGCCCTACCACATTAGGTTTATTGAAGCTGCTGTTGGGAGTATACAGCACGACTAGAAAGTGGAAAGCAGCAGGGTCCCCGTTGCCTTCCAGCCTGGAGAACAGCCACAGCCTTTCCTGTGCAGACACACTGAGATTTGCTCTTGCAGGAAACATTTGGTTTTCTGTGTGCATGCTGATGAACTGTAAGGCTGTCTGATTTGTCTTACAGAAAACAGTTGTTGCTTGTCACTGAGGTAATTTAATCTCTTGCTCAGTTGTTGAATATTTTTGGTATTTATTTGATGTGGAGGGGTTTTTTTGGTGGTGGTGTTTTTTTTTTCAGATGCACAGCCAAATAACACCTTATCTATTTAATCTAAACAATTAATAAACAACCAAGTATTCAAAATCAGCCGTGGTAATGAAGTGTCATGTAGTCTCTCTAATCTTCCTGGAAAAGCTTGAAAAACATATTGCCACATTCCTTTTTTCTTTCTTTAATGCTTTTAATTGAAAAGAAAATTACCCAAACTGGCATGAAACAATAATCAGGTGATTGGAAAAAGTGTAGGTTATATTTGCTTCAGGAATAACCTCACAGCATTTTTTTGGTTACCCAATGCATTGTAGCTCCTCTATGTTTCTAAGCACTGTCAGTTTCATTTCCTCTAAATAAAAATTGATCTTAAAGTCTTATTTTGGCCATATAGAAGTTGTTGCTTTTGTACACTGCAGTTGTTAGTTATATTGGCTAGATGGCATTCCTAAACATCAAAATGCTTTGAATGGCCCTGATTTAAATGTTTTTTCTGATGACCTCTTTTATTTGTACATTCTGTTTCTCACTAACAATTGCCTTCAAAATTCAGGTGAAGGATTTTCTTTTGTTTTGCACAACAGGGCTGATGGAGTGATGAGAACAATGAACACGGAAAAACTCCTAAAAACTGTACCAATTATACAAAACCAAATGGATGCACTTCTTGACTTCAATGTAAGTTTAGCTGTGTGTACATATCTAACACACTATTGACTTTGTACAAACCTGCACAAACTTGTAAAATAGGTCAAGATTCGAGGTCTTGAACTTAGTTCCATGTTCATCCTTTTGTGTCCATGTTATCTGCATAGCTTAGAGTACAAATCATTTTGTCCATTGATATACCCCAATAAACTAGAAAAAAGAAATACGATGCTCACTGGAGAGAATGCTTCATGCTAAATTAGTGTTGTTTATTGTGTACATTGTGTAAGAATTGTTCATGTAAAAGTTGATAATTTCTGCCCTCTGTCTTCTAGTAGTGTTAGTTATCAAAAATGTCTGCCAAAACGGTTTCATTTAATTCTGTATGAAGAGATCCTGTGTTGATTTGCTATGCTACTATTTCCACTGGTAGCCAGTGAGATGATTGGAAAGCATGCCTTGGGATAGAGTACTGGAATTCAACTAGAAGTTTTCCAATAAAGGATCAATTCAGTTAAATTAACTTTTTTCTGATCTTCCTAGGTCAACAGCAATGAACTTACAAATGGTGTAATTAATGCTGCCTTCATGCTCCTCTTCAAAGATGCCATTAGACTGTTTGCGGCATATAATGAAGGGATTATTAACCTCTTGGGTAAATATAACTGATTTCTGCAATGTTCAGTGTTAAGCTTTGGGGAGGGAGCTAAGCAAACAATTGCAAAGAGTGGCTCTTTTTCAAGAAGTTGAAGTAGTCTTACTATAAAGCATCAAAATAGTACTGTTATTTCCAATTTAGATTTATTTCCAAGGTTTCTCTGCCCAATTGCATTTTATGTTGCATTGTATACAGGGATGGGTGAATTTCTGAAAGCAAAGCCCATTCAAGATTTTCTTGACTTAATTTTTATTTTCTTGCAGTGCTTTGTTCTGTATGTGGTTTTGTTTTTTTGTGGTTTAGGTTTTTTGGTGGGTTTTTTTGTCTCATTGAGCTGTATGGCAAACCTGAATTCTAGTATTCATGGGTTTTATTTAAGAAGCAAAATAGGGTTTTGTTTCTTTTTAACCGACCATAACTTATTCCACTTACAAATTTGCAGTCACAGCATCTGTGATTGCTTGACTATCGAAACTTCAGTGTTGGTTGGTTTTAATGATTGGTTGGCTTGTGTTTCTAGAGTGTATCTTATGTTTTAAGGGGAATTGCAAATTCAGGCCTTGGGCCCTTTCACTTACACACACTGGAGATGCAGTGGAGCCTAAATCTGTAAAAATAAGTTGAAAGTAGACTCCTGATCTGCTTGTTTTAGTTGTATTCTGTGATTGGATCAAGCTACCTGATTGCTGTTATTACCCTGTGCTTGGAAAATAGCAAAATGCAGAATTAGTGAAGGACAGTCATGCTTCTACTCTGAAGTCCCTGTCTGCTTTTGCCGACTAGCATATGGTTACTTTCACTCATGTTTTGAGTGAAGCTTAATATAGAAATAGGGCTTGAAAGTGTTATTTCAGGAAGGGAGCTGGAACCCTTTTACTTTCAGCACTGGTGTTTTGCGGTCAGTTGCACCACATTGTAGCCCACACCATAGCAAGAGGCATCAGTCTGGCAGAGAATATCAAAATCTTGCCTGACATGAGGCCACTGGAACAGAGTAGATGTTCCACTGCCAGATTGTAAAATTGCTTTTTCTTTTTTCCTCCAAGAGGATGAATTTACATTTCTTTGGGTGACCTATTCTTAAACATGATTGTCCTCTTCAGGGTGCTTGTGCTTTTGTGAGATCTAGTTACCTGCAAGGTAAGGTGTGATTGCATGCATGTGATCATTAGCTCATGTGGATGGAGCTTTTGTCATTTGGTGCAAGTTAGGCAGAGTGATTTCTGCAGTTAATGTAATAAAACAGATCTGCAGGCGTTTTCTGTTTGTCTTGCTTTATATGCTTTTACTTTGCATATCCTTTGTAGAATGCTTGATTTCTTATTTAATGCAAGTATTCTTACTGTTTATAGAAAAATACTTTGATATGAAAAAGAACCAGTGCAAAGAAGGCCTTGATATATATAAGAAGTTCCTCACTAGAATGACACGGATCTCGGAATTCCTTAAAGTTGCAGAGGTAAACTTGAGTCAGCCAAACTTTGCCGTTTATTTCAAACAGCTTATGAAGTGCTTATTTCCTCCTAAAGCTGATACTTCCAGCCTAATTGCAGCTCCATCAAGGGTCATCTTGCCAGTCTCTGCCCTGGTGATCAGCTCATTTGAGGACTGTATTGAAAAACCTGGCTACAAAATATTTTCTGGTTTATCTTTTACTTAAGGAGGGTGTGGTGTATAAATATGCATTTTAAAATTTCCTCAGTTACATAATAATTGTGAGCTTTCTTAGAAGAAGAATCTTGCTTTGAAGAACTAAAGTAACTTCATGGTGTGTCTGCTGCTTGCTGTGGTTTTAGCTGTATTCTATAAAATAACAGCTACGTAAATAAGGAATTGAGACAAGTAGATGAATGTGATTATTTTTATTAAAGATGTCTTGGCTATAGGTGTGTTTGTAGAGGAGAATCCATTTACCTTGCAAAATGTTTTGTGTTTTTTAAATGTATTTATTCTGTTGCATTCTTATTTCTGAAGCATTGTTGATTTGATGTACTAGTATTATGGAATTCCTCAGTTGAGCTGTGTTCCTATTCTTGTTTTGTTTTCCTTCATTATTCATAACTCCCACCAAAATTGAAGCAGTAAAGCTTGGCTTGGCTCACTCTGTCCTGACGGAATATCTCTACCTACTTTCAGCTGTCTTCAGTTGATAACACTAACTGAAGTTGAGACTTGTAATCTTTCTGTTGTAGCAATGCACATCCTGCTGCAGAATATCTTAAGCAGTTTTCTAAAATGCATATCAAACTTATTTATACAACTTCGAACATGCTTTGTTGTAGCAAATAATGTTCTATGTAAGTATGTCTGAGAACTTACCATGTAAATAGTGGGATAGGCAAAGTTCTCTAGCCTTAGAATTCTGAAACACTTCATTCTTATTCTGTTTTATTTCTAAGGTTGTATCTGTTAAAATATTTCTGTAACACGCCTACTTCAAATGTGTATCTATTTAGTGGAAGAATTTATTATAACCAACCATCCTAGAGTCAGGTTGTGGAGATTTAAATTGTATATGGACAGGTTTGTGCTTTTACTTGACTTCATTTTAATGTTGTTTGTATTTTGAGCATCTCTGCCTTTAACAAATGCAAACAGGTTCTAAAGCTCATCTGTTTTATTACAGCAAGTTGGAATTGACAGAGGAGACATACCAGATCTCTCACAGGTAGATAAACCTATTATGTATTTGTCAGTACATGTCTGTTTTGGGGTTGCATAATCAGAAAAACTTGGCATTATGGCATTTGTTTATGCTTTCTTGCATACATTGTCACCGAGTTATTTCCAAGCTTGTGATGAGATCCAGCCTCTGTTAGAGCCTGGTTGGTTTTTTTGTTTTTTTTTTTTGATGCTATTGTAAAATATTATAGCTAATTTCTGTCACACTCTAGTTGAGTTTTAAGACAGCCTGATTTCTATCAAGCTTGAAGACACAATTTGTATCTGAGTTCACATAGTGAAACTTTGACGTGATATTATGAAGCTGTGGTTTTTAGCAAGCTTGCTTTTGGCTGTGTGCCCATTTAAATCATTGTGAAGGCTTGCAGAGCGTGCACATAGAAATGACTTTAGGTACAATTTCTTCCTTAGTGTCTCTTCAAATACTGCTTCTGTTTGTCTGCTTGCTGTTTCCTAGCTGTTAATTTTAACATCTCTTGACATATTTCAGTACTTACTGGTGAGTCATTATGACAGAGTAATGTAGTGAGAAGAGTACATCATCTGATATTTTAAGTAATTAAATACCGACAGGATGCCAAGATGCGGTATAAGTATTCTGAGCTGTTGTACCAGTTGCCCTGTAGTTGCATTCTCTCAAAGTCTCTTAACTACTGATTTGCTTCATCTTAAGATTCTTCAAGTCTCTTCCCTGACGTCTCTTTTTGCAGGCACCGAGTAGCCTTCTTGATGCTTTGGAACAACATTTAGCTTCTCTAGAAGGGAAGAAAATCAAAGATTCCACAGCTGCAAGCAGGTGCTTATACCCTTGTCCTTTTAAACAATTGTTGAATCAAATGTTAAATCCATTCTTTTGATTTCATGGTAAACTAGGGTTTGTGTAGGCTATGTTGAAGACAAGACTGTATTGTATTAGCAATGATAGAAACAGCAAGTTATCGTATCTTTTGCTGAGCATTTCGAGCTTCTTCAGGTCAACAGAATTGGAATATAAGGAGCTGCAAGCTCTTGCTGTAGAATCCATTGTATGTAGTACTTACACTTTTAACATTTAATCTTGAACTTCTGAAGAGAAACTTAAGGTTTTTTCACTTACTGCCCCCAAATGTTCCTTTTCTGATAATAATTAGACTTCTATAAGGTATGCAACATCTATTTATTTATGTCCTTAGTATCTCGTATATCAGCTCTAATCCCTTTTTTGTCAAAAGCAAGAAAATGCTTCCAGAAGTCCTTATTTTATGGTAAAAGGCAGTCACTTATTTTGAGTCCTTGCTAAAACACAAAGTGCAATCTGGAAAAGTCCTCTAAGCAGCTAACTTAATTATTTAAATTTTAAAAAGCTTAATATTGCAAAATTAAATAGCATTTCTTTATTGCATGTTCAAAAAATAAGGCAGTAATATTTTATATGTTCTTTTTTATGGTAGCGATGATATTGGGGCTTAGCACCGCTTTGTTAGCTATATTTTTAGAATATTTGCTTTCTTTTGTAAGATTAGTTTGTTTGGCAAGTTAAATATTTATTTTAAATCCTTTCACACACTCTTAAACATGATGATCATGATGATAAATTGCAAACTTTTCCTCTGGAATATACTAGTTGCATTGATAGTTTCCTAACTAAACCTATTAAATTAGGAACAATTTGAATTGGAGCCCAGATTATTGGAGATTCTCGTGCATCTACAAATAATGCTATCTTAGGCAAACAGGAAAAGAGCAGAGGCTTCAAATGGGAATTTTGTGATGCAGAGGGGAAACATTTAAGGGGGGAAATCCAAAATGCAGTATATAAGAGCAGATAGCGTGGCTTCTAGGCGTTTTCATTTTGCAGTTCATACAGTGTACCTTATTTAAACTTTTACGTTTTGTCTTGTACAGTGCAAGATGTAACCAGTGTTATAAAGGGTTCAGAAGGAGGCTGGGTGGATACAAGCGAAGTGTTCTGTGGATGTTCCTATCACGTGTCACCTATTAACAGGCAGCTTTTCTCCTGTCCAATGACTTTAGGGCTACCACCCTTTCCAATGCGGTCTCTTCCCTTGCAAGCACTGGCCTGTCCCTCACAAAAGTTGATGAAAGGGAAAAACAAGCTGCGTTAGAGGAAGAACAGGCTCGCTTAAAAGCTTTAAAGGTAGGCATACAGAATTTTTAATTGAAAACACTTTTCCTATGTTCTTGTTGATTGCTTATTAGGATTCCTAAAGGATCAAAAGGAAAAAAGAGAGTTATGAATACAGAACATGTACTGTTGGCAAAGCACTGGAAGTAGAATCTTATGTACATATACTGTACGACTTGTGGAGGATTTGTTAAAATAGTTTCTGAAGGATTGGTGGTACCACTGACTCTTGTAATTTTAAGTAGCTGACACTACTGTGTGGAATTAATAAAAATAATTATTTAAATTCTGCTTTACTTGCCTCCAAAGTCATATACACAAATGTTGTTTCTGGATTTCTTATGCTAGCTCACTTTCCCAACAGGAGCAACGTTTAAAAGAACTTGCGAAGAAACCTCATACCTCTTTGACAACTGCAGCTTCCCCTGTGTCGACTGCAGCAGGAAGCATAATGACTACACCAGCCATTGATATTTTTTCTACCCCTAGCTCTTCAAACAGGTATGCTTAATGACATTGCTTCACTGTGAGCTGTGCTGCAGCTAGGGTTTCCTCTAAATTTCTGCTGTAGAGTACACATTGTAGAAGGTTGATTGGGTACATTGGTGATGTGATAAGAAATAATGTTTTGAGTAAAATTGATGGGAAAATAAACTATTGCTGTAAATAACATAAAAAGTATGTTTTCATTGTCCATTTGCAGAATAGTTTCTGATAATAACCAGCGCAGATAGCCCTTGTAGCTCTTCTTAGTCGGTGGACCAGACTGTTGGAAGCGTAAAACACACATGCTTTGTTCCCAAAGAACCTTACAAGTTAATCTGGGAAAAGTAAAAAAAAAAAAAAAAAAAAAAAATATTCAGTTTGGGAGGCCATAAAGATAATATTGAATTTAATGTTGCATTTCTAGATCTTTAAAAGTAGAGTGGTAACAAAGATTCTTGGTAGATTTTCAGAAGAAGAGAGACAGGTTTTGCAGTCCTGAGTTGCATCTGGAACTTGCAAAGATAGTGCAGAAGTACTCCCTGTACACTAATCCTGATCTTTGACTGGCAGGAACTGTTGGTATGAGTAAGTGTGTGATCTTTGTTCTGTAAAATACCTGTCAAATCGCCAGTAGCAGAAAGTACGGTGCTTTTATCAATATACAAGGAAATAGCTCTCTGAAGGCATATTTTTGCTTTGGATGTGATCCTAAACCTCTAAAGGAGGTTTAGTTGTTCTGTTAGTGCTCACATAAGAATCCACTTGTCTCCTTTAGTTTTTGTCTGTTCTTTAAAAGTAGTCAGCAGTTTGACAGCCTTCTTTCCCCGTTAAAAAGCTATTGCAGGAAATTACTTGACACCAAATGTGTGGAAAGTAGCTGAATCACAGGAGCTAGAGAATGTTTCAGTGTTAGTGACTGAAAGGCTTCCTTCAAAAAAAGTTTCTCTTAAATTGCTTTTTACAGGTCAAGATATTAGGAATGGGCGTATGCTTTGAACTAGTAACTTTGAATATCTGATCCTGCTTCTTAAGAGATCTGAAACATAGAAACATCTGATAGAGCTTCTTTAAACAGCCAGAAATGCTACATAATGAAGACAAGTGCGTTTTCTTCTAAAAAGCAAATGCTGGTCTGTCTTCATGCTTAATCAGTTGCTGGCAGTATGACTGCTATGAGCAAAGAACAGATTTTACAGCAGGAGTGGCCACAAAGGGTGTATGTTGGGTCATAAATTCAGTTGCTTGCTTCAGATGCAGTGTAACTGATTAATCCCTATCATTAACATGAACATTTTGTCTTGAAAATTATCTTTTGTTCTGGTGCTCACATGACAGATCTGTGCCAGACCATGATGCTTTTAATAGGAGCAATAGTGTCAAAATGTGATTTCAATCACTGTTGAAATGAAATAGTAAAAAGTGAATGATACAAGTGATTGGGTCAGCAAGAGAATATACGGAGATCTAGAGTGTTGGTTCTACACTATAAACTCTTATGCCAGTCTCATTTCGAAAGACGGTGGGATGCCACTTAGCTTCTGTCCATGGCAGTGGCTGTACATGTGAATTTTTGTTCATTTTCTGTGCTAAAAAGTTCTGGGTGAACACCAGTACTCCTGTTTTTTTCAGGACTAATTTGAAATATGAAATGGACTCTGCAAGAGGGTGAATGTTACTGTTTCTGTTTGACTCTTGAAATTAGTGCAGCAGTTGTGTTTAAGACTTCACTCTTCATCTCTGTATGATGTTCTTAGGTCTCAGTTTGGTTTTGAATAGTCTAAAATGTGCATTTAAATGAGTATTCACATGACTGATGTGTAACAGTGTTTCAAGGTTTCTTATATTTTGCTTCCCCCCGAGTTCTTCAAGAGCTCATAGCGGTAAGCCAGTTTCTCAGCAGCGGTTGATAGTGGAAAGGTATGAGGTGTGGAATTTAGATGTAACACTTCAGTGGTGCAACCCATTAGACTTCATTTTGTCAGTCTGCTTTTGTCATGATGTAGGGCTTTCATGAGGGTATTTTAAAAGGTGCTGAACATAAAACATGCTCTAGCCCTAGTGTTGGACTGTCAGGAAGATGAAAAGACTGGTTGTCTTTGTGTCTTAGACAGCTTTGACAAAAGTCACTTGGCGTAACACGGAACTTAGCTTGTTAAATTAATGTTTTCTACAAAACTGAAAATATGAAGTTCACCAGACTGATTTTGGCTTAGTTCTGTCCATTTTGTAACAACCAGTTTGTAACAAAGCTTTTTTTACTGTTGACAGTTGCTAGTGTTTGTCTTGTATTGAAAACAGTGATGTAATTCAAACAGTTGTGTTAATTTGTCTTTGTAGCACTTCAAAGCTGCCAAATGATCTGCTTGATTTGCAGCCAACTTTTCATCCGTCTGTACATCCTATATCTGCTGCTCCCCCAGTGGGAAGTACCTGGGCAGGTAAGAATTGTGAATCACACTAAGGTTCTAATTGCTATGACCATGTTCCTCTAAGTTTTTCCCCTAGTCTGTGGGCTGTTTCTTCCCTAAAAACAGAAATCTTACAAAGGCAAGCTACAAGTGGATGAAGGGAGTGGAAAAAGTCAAATCTGAGTCTGGATTAAAACAATGTAGCAGCATCTGGTGATTATAAAGAACTTTGATAGGAGACTCCTTAGTAGCAAAGTTACGGTAGTTGTTGACCAGTTCTGTCAGCCTCATAACTGCTGTCTTCAAGAGTCACATAGCAAGCTACAGAAACTTAGCTGTGAGGAGTTAGTTCTGTGAAGATGTCTGCCAGATAGCCCGTGTTGCACACATGGGAACTTGAATACAGAATTTTTTTAATACGTATTTTAAATTTTGTCTAATGTTAAATAAAATCTGCAGGTGATAATAGAGCAGAACTTGGATGAGGCCTGAAAGGAGGCAGTTGTGACAGCTGTGCATAGAAAGCAAGAAAATCTAGAGTTACTTTTTGAAAACAAAATGAGGCACTTCTTTACATATTCTCTGCTGTATTTCATTTAACTACAAAGGAAAGTTAACAAAAAGGTGTGGTTGGATCTCTTTAAGTGAAAACACAAAATTTATGAGGAACTCTTCCCTCCTGAAGTTTATTTCAGAACACTCAAATTCTCATTCTACCCAGTTGCTAGGATGGGCTGAATAAGATATCAGACTATCTTATTGATACAGGCAAGTCCTTAAACTAAGGAGACAAGCAAGAACATTCTAGAGAGTCATGAATGTCACTTCGAGATTAGTTTGTTAGAGCATTTATTTATTTACCCAAAGCAGTTTTTCTCTTTGCTGCTTTGCAGTGTTCCAGAGTACTTCTCATCTAGGTAACATATTGCCTGGTTGTACTGGTAGAAGATTAAAAGTCTCTTATAAAGATGTTTCTTTCTGCTTTTCTACTTAAATAACACTTAATAAAATAGTAAACTTCTGAACTATGTGGCTATTTCTAGATGATTTTTTTTTAATACAAATCAGATGCTTGCAAAAATGCTTTCTTTTATGATGTGAAAAATTGGGAGTTGATGCCTTAGTTTCATAGGCATTGGAATAATCCTGTTCTGAAATTTTACCTCACTATTTCTTTTTGAGCTATAACTTTTCCTAAACATCTTTCCAGTTATCTAACATATCTTCATAAACAGTGTATGTATTCTACTTTCCTGTTTACTTTTTGCTATGTATGTTGCATTTTTGTGTACCTTCTCACGTTTGTTTGTAGGGAAAAAAAAACAATTTTGAGTGACAGGAGCAATATTAATATATGTGGTAGCTTCAAAAATAAAAAGAAGTGTTTTACTTGCCCTGAAGAGCATATCAAGTTATGTGTATACATTTCAATGTTTAATAGGCTTAGAGTTTAGAAATGGAGAAAAATGTTTTGGCTCATCTTGTTTGCTTTCTGGAAAATATCTTCTGTTTCAGCTTGTCCTATTTGTTTCACGGTTGAGAGACAGAAGGGAGAATTATCTTCCTTGCGAAGGTCACATCACAATCTAGCATTGCGTTACTAACCTGAAAATTGAGCCTGAAAGGCTGTGTTCAGTGTTGTGTTATTCCTGAGTCTTCAGTTGTAGTCATTGATACATCTGCTTACTATTGACACATTTCTAAATACTTCTAAGATGTAATTAACTGTGAAGATTTTGGATTGTCTGCTAAAATTTGAGGCTAAAATTCTGGGACCACCATTTTTTGTGTTACCTTTGATCCAAAAAAAAAAAAATCAAACCAAAAAAAACCTCTTCAGCTTTACAGACATGAACACTTGCTTCACATAGGTGAGGTAGATAAGAAGTGCTTTCCACATTTTACAGATGGGGAAATCTGAGCAATTAACTGACTTACCTGAAGTCATACGGCAAGTCAGTGGCAGAGCCAAGAATGGAACCTGAGCTATTTCCAGTCCTGTGCTCTAACCACTGCACAGCATCCCTCCCTTAGGTAATTTTCTGACATGATGATGTTTGTATTTGGTGTGTATATGGTGACTTTGAGAAGTATCAAACTAGCTGCAAATTGCAATGGACTAAAAACAGGTACTCTAAAAAAAATTTATGCAGCAGCTCTTAGGTTTGTAATAAAAGGACAGTTGTTATAAAGGTGTTATGTTTGGGTTGCTGCCTTTTGTCTTGCGCTTCCAAAAATGTTAAAGCTAATGAGGTTAAAAACTCCTGGAGAATGGTTTCTGTAACTTCATGCTTTCAGTTTACTTTTTTTAACTGTAAGAGATGCCACTGAAAAACCTTTGTTGTTGTTCTCTCAGGTAAAACACTTCTAGCTGGATAACTTCAAGGTGGAAGTTTGCAAAATTCTAATTACTCTTAAATGCACCTGAATCATTAATGCCTAATGATAGCCTGAAGGTGCGGAATGATTCCATTGACACAAACAGATGCCAGGTGTGTTCAAGGATGAAACTGGCCTTTAGAAACACTGAGCTGTTGCTGTCAGGAGAGATAGCAATTTTTAAAGTACAAATATGCAAGGATATAAATTATCCAAACCAAATTAATTTCCAGTTACCTTTGTCGCTAGCATTGGCAGGTTTTGAGACTCAGACAAGATTGAATGCGCTGGCTAGAATTAGAATGAGGCAGAAGAGCGAAGTATCAGAACAGATGACTTTTATGAGAAAATCTTGGTATAAAATTGCATTGCTAGTTGAAACAGATTAATCTCCATATACAGCCGTGGGATTTCAGAACAGAAAGTAGCATGTAGCAATTTTCTTAAGTGCATGTGTTAAATAGATAGTAGCTTCAAATAAATATAGTTAAAAGCTTTTTGTCCTTTTTAGCTTCTTTCATATTGTTTTATCTGAGCTGTTTATTGGGATTGTCCAGAGACCACTCTACCTGTATTTGGTATATTTGCCAGCTATCAATTTGTACCTAATCTTCAGAAGTGAAACACATGTACCAGTGTGGAAATAATCAGTTTGTCCTATCTGTTTGGATTTTTTCCAATTGCAAGGAGAACCAATAAAATCAAAAGAATGTGAAGCAGCAACAGAAAAAGCAAGTAGGAGCTGAGTAAAGGATAATCTGATCTGTTTTATTGTCAGATTTGTTTGTTCTGCAGCTTCTAGAATAGCATTCAAAGCAGAGAACAGTCTTAAGTGGATCCTGAAAGCAAGGACTCTGTTCCAGTTTACTGGCTGATTGGCATGTCCACAAGCACATTAGGTGGTAATATTACTGTCTAAAATATACATAAAACAATACAAAGTTTTATATATTATAAAGACTATATTAGCTTATTCTGCTTATTCTTTATTCAGTGTTTGACACTGTCATTTTGGTGACTGAATGATTTAGAAAAAGGCTTTTTAACGTACTTCACTCATTCCTGCGACATAGCCAACCAATTTGGGAGAGAAGTCAGGTGTTACTGAATAAGGTATCTTGAGCTTGCAGAAAATCAAAGCGTGTATTAAGTCTGCAAAGAATCATGCAGTCATGGTTTTAAAATTTCATTTTCTTTAGGACTTGTATATGGCTCAAATCTTAAGTGTTACCAAGCTGTGTGGCAATTATAGCTAAGAATCAGGAGGTCAGATTCAGGGAGATAAAATAACATTTGATGCTACTGCACACATCACCGTAGTGTTTACGAGAGTTGTGGATAAATTGATAATCTAATTTATTTTAAACAAAAAAAGGCTAGAAACTGAAGTATTCAAGAAATCTCTCCTCTAATTATTGTACAGACATTTCTCTGGAGTGAGAAAACTTACTAAAAGAATAAGTTGCAGCTCTAGGAACTGATCTAGGTGTTCCTGCTCCGGCAGGGGGATTGGACTAGATGATCTTTCGAGGTCCCTTCCAATCTCTAACATTCTGTGATTCTGTGAACTGTGATAAAACAAATAGGGTGAGATGCAACTCTTGCTGATCTCACTAGCAAGTTCTTGAGTTTTCCATCAAGGGTTTGGGTACTTTGAAGCCAGACAACTAAACCACGGTTCCTTCTGTCAACAAGTGTTGTAACTGCCTATCCTGTCCTGTTTATCTGTAGGATCCTGGAGTACAGGATTATTTTAGCTTGGCAATTGTATCCATTCTCAGGAAATCTTAAACTCTCCTATATGCCTCAGGAAGTGACTCACAGATCTGTGGTTTTTTTCATTCCCCAGTATGGTCTGACAGTTTTTTAATAAGGAATATTTTCCTCATCACTGCTCACTAGCCATAGTCCCTCAAATCGGAGCAGGTTTTTGCTTGCTTGCAGCTAATGGCACATCCACAACACGCGTGTTGCTCCTGATGCCCCAGGTAGTTAGTGAAGTGCTTTTGTCCTGTGTGCTGCCTTGGTGCATTCATAGCTCCTGAAAATTTCATGATGCCTAGTAACAAAAAAATCCATAAACACAGTTTGAAGAAGAAGGAAAAGTACAGCTCTGTTGTTTTTGTTTGTTCAGACTTTGAAAGCTATCCCCAGGATGGTACTGCATTGAATCCTCACTGAGCACCTGGGCTTCTGTTACTCTAAGAGGCAGCCTCTGCCCCAGAGAATTTGTTGCAAATGTCAGGATGTGACTGAGTAAAGCAAAGAATGATCACGTTCAAAGAATAACATACTAATTTTCACACTGTGGAAGAAGCGCGCTTCATAAGACCAAGATGGTATTAATTTAAAAAAAAAGTAAATGTGTACCTAATATCTGTAGTATTTTTCTTGAGCAGAGAATGGATAATTCTGGACAATTGGAAAATTAAACAATCAGCTAGATCATCCTGACTGTAGAGATGTCGGGAGAAAACTCTATTTCCTGGACTCTTCTTAACTCTTGCTCTTCTGTACCTAGGAAGCAGCATGTTACTAAATCGATCTCCCTTTTCTTCTTTCTCTTGCTCTCTGGAATTGAACAGATCCTTTTTCTGCTACTGTTGATAATGTTGATGATGCCATTCCAAACCTAAATCCTTTCCTTACAAAAACTAACGATGCTGCTCATCTGTCTGTGTCTTCTGATGTATCTACTTTCACCAGTAGGACACCCACACATGAAATGTTTGTTGGTAAAGTACCATTTTAAACTCATTTCCTATTTCCTAAAAAGATTTAACATTATTTCAGTTTCTAAAGTATATTTGTGGGGCCTTTCAGAAACTAAAAGCTGATCATTTGGGGCTGATTTTATGCTATATTAGAACTTGATTTAGCAATTGTGCCGTGAAAGTGGTGTTAAAATCCTTGTTTGGCTACTTCGATGGGATTCTACCTGATGTAAAGGAACTTAGTTAAAGCAGTTGAGTGCCGTTTTACACAATGTCTCTTATGGTAAGGAATTTTAAGGTAAAATACTATGTATGCCTGAGAATGAAATGAAAATACTACTTTGTTCCTCAGGTTAAAATGTTCTTTTTAAACATAGGAGCTTAATATCATTTTTTTGATAGTGGGTGTTTTTCCGCCAGTTGTGTTGGCATTAACACAACTGGTAAAGCCATGTGCATTCTGGTGCATGGTCTACTCAACCTGCTGACCTACTAGGCAATGAACTAATGACTCAGCTTTTTAAGACTTGAAATCCTACTTCGGAGGTGATTCAGCATGGCTGTCAGATTAGAAATCCTTCTAACATTTCTGTTGGTGCAGCTATGTAGTAATTTGATTACTCTTCAATATGAAGAATTAAATTAGCTTTCATAGACTGAAAATCAATTAATTATAGATCAGTTCTGCTCTTAAGCAGAGGTTTAAGGATGATGATGCTGTACCAACAGGGCTTGCTTTTTGCAGGTTGAATCCCGCTAGAATTGATCACAGAAGAATCCAGACTTCTGTAACAGAAAGATCTTTATCTCTGGTACTTGTTAACAGAGATAAAACAAAGGGATTTCTTTAGAGATACTCATACCACCTACACTTTGTCACCTTACCTAACTGGTTTCTTAGCTCATCTTTGGTTAGTGGAGGGAGAAAGCAAGCAAGATTAAACACAAGAACTCTTGCTGTGAACTTCTCTCCGCAATTCCCAGGGAGGATTAGTTGGCTGAGGCAGTAGTACACAGATACTTTAAGCCAGTACTACTGCGTAATAATCTGGCCTATGCTTCTAATTGGTCTTTCCCACGCTTCCAATAAAATTGGTAGGGTTGATGTGACTATAGAATGACCATTTGAAATACGGCCTTTTTTTAGTAGGGTGCTTATTCAATCGGATCGGTTTCCTCTGTTTAATTTGTTCTTCAGTCATACACAAAGTTGCAGCAGTGCAGGGCTGTGAACAAGGAGGCTGGTGGGTTTTTGTGACACTCGCTGGTTTGTGTAGTGTTCATCCCACGACAGCCCTGAAGCTGTTGGAGATGGATGGCGTGGATATATTGCATTCCCTTCCAATGTCTCATTCTCTAAAGATATATCTAGAACCGAAGTGTGACCTCCTGCCAGATCGATATGTGAAATGTAAATGCAATTTCAGCTGTAGCACAAACAAGGTTCTATGATAATGTGAATGTGGATTTAAAATAACTCTTTCTGGTTCTTTAGATCATTACAATCCATTTACTGAACTAAATCCCTTTTTGGCAACCAAATATGAATCCACTATTGGGCTCTATCCTTATACTTCAGGTATAAGAAAAATGCCTTAAAGCTTTTACACTCATTTCTTCCAAGGGTGTAAAACATGGCATTTGCTTGAAAAATAAAAAAAAAGTATTTATCCTAGTATAGCTATATCTTTGAAACTGTGTTTTCCCCTTTTGTGTTATAGACAATGTAAACTTGTTTCTTACTGTATGTCTGATGTGTATTGATTTCATTCCATTGGTTGTATGTTCTTAGAGCGTATGTGGATTTATAGATTGACCTGAAATTAAGTTTTTGAATAGCAGATAAACAATATATCTTGGTTCTCGTTCTGTAACTCTTCTTCTCCTTTCCTGGCTTTCTCTCTTGTGTCATATGCCTTATCAGATTCTTTTTGTGGTCCTCAAGCTTACCCTAACGCTTCTCATTTCCGCAATGAGCCTTCTTCTGTAGCTGGTCTATTTGGAGGTAGGTAATGGGATACAGCCTTACCACAAACACAGAAGTTGGAATGTGTTTTGTGCCTAGAGCTAGTAGGTATGTTATAGCCTACAGAAGTGCATTGTTATAGTGGCTCCAACTTTTATTCCTGTACTTGTGCTAGATGTATTGTCTCAAATGGTGTGTGTGTGTATATATATATATTTTTTGTTTGTTTGTGATAAACTAAGGCTTGTTTAGTCTAAACATGAAATGAGTATCTCCCCATTTCAGGATCTCTTGTAGTTTACATGTTGCTACATAACACACAAGACTTGCATAAGTATCATCTCATCTTACTCTTCCTTATTGCTTTTAAGATAAAGGGATTGGGATGTTATTGCCGGTTATGGTGTTTTTGTTGATATATTACTCTTAAACAGTGCACTAAACTAGTACAAAGCTTTGCAACAGAATATGAGAAGAAGGTATCTGCTGCATTAAATTACTGGCTAATCATGTGTGCAGCTGTGTAATGTGTGTGTAGTAACCCAGTCCTGATGCTGGTTCTGGGATAGCATCCTGACAGCTGCTAGGGGGGCTGTGGACTGAGACAGATGATGATCTGTCTAAACCAGATTGAACATGGAGTGTTAACATTGTTGCTACGCAAGGTTTAGGAATATCTTCAATAAATGGTTTGTGGTTAGTTCTTAAAAGCACCATAAAGTTACATTTTGGTTTAGTGGCTTTGAACAGAAATTAGCTAGAGTCATTTAACAAAAGGTTAAATACTACCTATAACTCTGCTCCCTTTGTCCCATATCCAAAAGCAGGACGATTAGTTTCTGTCAAGTCTTGTTGGTTTATTCTCTCAAAGGAACTCCATTAAAAATCCTGACCTTTGCACCTTTCAAAACATCCATGTTAGACAAAATGCCCTGGGCTGGTGGTTGATACCAGGAGTAGGATTTGGTCTTTTTCAGAGGCTGGCTCAAAGGAGCCCTGTGCATTGTTTTGTCTTCTGGCTTGTCTCATCTCATTAGCTTCATAAAGCTTGAAACTTCCTAAAATGGGAGAGCAGGAAATTCAGCTTGTTTCAGTTAAGGCCATTTTCTAAAGAAAAATAGAAGCTATTGTAAGTAAAGTTTTCTGTTGGTACAGGCACGGTTTTAAGAGTTGCAGGACATCCCATCGAAGGAATTTCTACCTTCAGTTCAGAGTCTCTGAAATGGCTTGTTACAACTTGATGGTATACTTGTCATAAAGATACTCATTTTGGTTTGGTGGTTATTTATTCCCTATCTCTTCCCACATTACTGCTTCCCATGTTTTGCTGTATGCTGCTTTCTTTGATTTGTTCTTAATGGAAAGTACGGTGTTTAAATTCTTAGTGATGGATGCTTTTGAGTAGCGAGTTGTTATATTCCTTTAAGATAAATAGGAAGGAAGTAGTCCAAAATTTGGTTTTTTTCTGTGAAGTTTATGTTTAGGGATAACATCCTTTAGTTATTAATTTTTTTTTTTAGATACAATGTGACTTATTTCAGGAAAACAGTAAAATTGAAATGAGGTGCTGTCACAGCAAGCTAATGAGATCCCAGAAGTATTCTTTGTCAGTTATTTACGCTCACTGTGATATTTTACTGCTGAAGTACTTGTGATCCTTCTCTTTTATTTCTCTATATCATTAAAATTTCTGCTAGACACCAGAAGAGCTAGTTCTCAAGATAGCATTGCATTTTTTGTTGCCTTTCATATAAAGTAATAATTGCTTCTGTAGTCACCTGGGTATCAAGATGATGTACATGTACGTTTGTGATCATATATAACACTAAAAAAAAATGCGATTTTAGAAACAAATCAATATTCACTTCCATATTACTGAATTATCGACTTAATACTGCCAAACCTCATACACAATGCTATGTACTGCAATCAATTTTCACAGTATTGAAAAAAAAAAGTGTATTTGGAGAATACTGCTTTACAGATACATAGAAGGAGAGAAATGGAATAAGTTCAGACAGGAATAGGAGTTGAAACTTGGCTTTAGCTCCCTGTATGTTGCCATAACTGCTAGAAACTTACCTGCAAAACATGGTCACCTGCAAAATGTGTGTCCAAAAATAACTGAGGAAGCGCTGTAAAAGTTATTAGTCTTAAGAGCGTCTGATCAAAGGCATTACTAGTCAGGCACCTTGGGGTGGTTTGGATCTTTCTCCCATTGTATCTAAGAAAACGGCTCAACTAATATAAAATGTGGAGGGAATAATCTTCAGGAAGGTAATCTTGAAACAGATTCTGTACCTAGCCAACTTCTTTTCCTGGAGAAGCATAGTGATTATTTTCTCTATAATTTTATTGTAAGTATTTGTTAAAAGATTAAGGAAGATGTGAGTAGTTAGTCCAGCGATTTAGCAGTTAGGGGGAGGAGTAACTCCAAATAAACTTCAAATTAACTGCTTCCAGCTCTTTCTCTTACATGCTTCTTGGTGTCAGGGTGTAATCTGGACCTTTGAGGTATTCCTAGTCAGTACGTAAATAATCTACATATTTATTCGGCTTGTCTTGCATAAAGAAGGGTGGATTCATGGGAAATACTCTCTAAAAGTATTCAACTTCTTTCTTTTTCCCTATAGGGTTCACTCCATCTCCTGTTGCTCAACCACAGCCATCAGCTGGCCTTAATGTTGACTTTGAGTCTGTGTTTGGAAACAAATCTTCTAATGTTGTCCTAGATTCTGGTGGTAAGAAACTTATTAAAATAGATGACATATGTCCTTTAACATTTTATTCTTGAGGTATAAATCTCTTAATCTGTGTTTACTCATGCTGCTGTGACAGTGTTCCAGCTGAAGAAAGCTGACTTTAAAAGGTCAATAGCAGCATTCTTCATCCAGTTTTTTCTTGATTAATAAAATAATTTTTCCTTACACACTATTTTCTATGTGAACCCATCTGAAATGTTTGCATTGATTTCCTTCACTTACATATTTTGTGCACTAAAACTTCACAGAGTGAACAGCCGTCATTTTTACATGCTGTCAATTGAAATTAAATCTGTATCTGTAGAGTGTGGTTAGAAGAGGTGAAGCTGCTATGTAATTTTATATATCTGTGCAATGCATTTTTGGCACCTCTTTGCCTACATATTACTATTTTGACGTTAACATTATCTCAGAAGATGATAAATTATCAAAACTTAAACAGTTAATTTGGATTGTAGTCATAGTAGTCTTTCTGTTCTTTTGAGCATCTGGAAAGTAAATACAATGTCTTTTGACATTGGACTCTTGACATCTGACTTTTTTTGGCAAACCAGTCATCTTCCAAAAGCAAATAAATATGTGTTTTTATAAGAATGAAATACTTTAGATATTTATTCTTTTATTTTGTTTTTCATTTTGATTGCTTTGCAGTCATTGTGAATCCATTCCATGTAAAACTGATGTCACATAGCTTAAATTAGTCAAGTGAAATCTCCTTTCTGTAGTAAATATGTCCTTTATCAAGAGGCGTAATAAGTGTTATCCTTCTTAGATAGTGTAGCATCATGAGGTTAAATTTTGTATTTTAGCCATTGTGTTGAGCTTGCTGTCTGTTTAATTGAATGTCACGACACTCATGGGAGGCCTGTGATTCAAATCACTTTTATGTTTATCGTTCCAAGGCTTTGATGAACTAGGTGGTCTCCTAAAACCAACAGTGGCCTCTCAAAACCAGAGTCTTCCAGTTGCCAAAGTACCACCTAACAAATTAGTGTCAGATGATCTGGATTCATCTTTAGCCAATCTTGTAGGCAGTAAGTATTGAACCACTAACATCTAAATACTTATTTAATTCTTTGAAATGAATAGAATTTCAGTAGCATCTTTTTTTACTTTCTGACAGATTTGGGCATTGGAAATGGAACTACTAAAAAGTGAGTATGCTTAATCAGAAGTTGAGCATTTTGATTTTCTTGATAGTAAATTTTAATGAAAGTACCGGTGCAAACCTGTGCGTAACAACATGATGCTAACCTTCAGAGGATGTTTGGGACTGTACTTGGTTTCTCATACAAGATATAAGGAATTGTTGAGAGCTGTTGAAAGGTGACTGCAGACTCAGTGGTAGTGACAGTGGTAACAGCAGGCGAGATGTCCTCCTGTCTCTGATTCATTGCAGGCTTTGTATAAATTTAGGAAATAAGTTCACCAAAATGTTACAGGTGATCTTAGCACACCTTTTCAATACTTTGTGTGATCTGAGTGTGTGCAGAGGTATATTAAAGATTGTCCACTTCAAAATTCACTTGTCTAAACATCAACCACATCTGCTCTAGCAGCAAAGTCAAAAATGTGGTTGGCAAACTTCAGGCTGATTGAGACCATTTGTGCTAACTCTGAGATCATTCAGAAATATAGTATGTAGTTGCTCCTAACTAATCTTGACCCAAGGAAAGTCAGCTAGACTAATTTACCTATACAGGGAACTTGTCTGAGATGAGATAAAGCTGAGGTGGCTCATGTTGAACATCTTACCTTTTCCTAGCCAAAACAAGCTGTCATCAACTTTTATCAACAAGCTTTTATCAATTCCTTTGCTAAATTACTTTCTTCACTAACAAAAGAAGCCACATTTCTAAGAGGCAACAGTGTTTACCTGAGAGAGTTTTGAAAGAAAGTCCAATATTTTCTAACAATTCTTTAAAAAATTTTTTTAAAGTGATGTAAACTGGACTCAGCCAGGTGAAAAGAAACTAACAGGTGGTTCCAACTGGCAACCCAAGATTGCACCTACAACTGCGTGGAATGCTCCGACGTTGGTAAGCAAATACTCATTTTAAAACAGTGAGTTCCCTGCAATTTAGATATACAGGCTGATGTATAACAGAGACATTTGAAAGTGATATATAGTTGTAGTAGAAGCGCAGTAGAAAATTGAAGAAGTGGTCACTTTGTGCACTATTTGGTTTTGTTTTTCTTAGCTGTGAGGTTCTAGGAAATAGTTTGGGATGGTTGTGTGTTAGATGTTATAGTTAGTTATAATAGTTAGATGTGCAGGTTTAGCAGAAACTTCGGCAGTGTTTGACCAGCCCCTCTCATGGCAAGATAGCAGCCTTCGTGTTTCAGTCAACTGACATAAAACTGTGAATTCCGGTGGGGAGGGGGGCACTTTGCAGTCTAGAAAAGTAGAAGTGTGGAAAGTATGTTCTTCAGGTGCACTGATACATCAAGTATGTGTGACATTACAGCTCAGCCTGCTCTGGGGGTGAGAATGGGCCAAGAGATTAACCCCCTTGATATTTGTCGAGGTGTCTGTGCAGTGATGTGGGCTATAGCTTCCTTAATGTACGTAACCACTGCTTTCCTGCTCCAATGTGTGCAATTGTTTCTAATGCACGTCAGGTTTGGTGATCAGCTTCATAGCATGTATTGTAGCAGGTAGTATTGGCAAGGGCTTTAGGGTAGCTTGTAGAACGAGGGTTCTTAATCACATTGCAAAAAAAAAAAAAAAATAAGAGGTTCAGAGTTTGTATGAGTAGATTTCACAATGCTAACAGAACACTTTTACATGTGAATCCTACTCACCCTTTCACCAATGACCTGGAGAACTGTATGTGGACAGAACAGGTAACAAACCACCCTGGAAAATTTATTGCATCTGGCTCTCTGACCAGGGGAGGTTGAATCCACAAAATGTTGTGGATTTGGAAAGAGAGAGCTTGTCTCCCTGGATCCACCACCCCTTCCCGACTGGGTGTCCCTTATCAACTCACTACATTCATGTAGGGAGAAATGTTTATGGAGACTGCTGGAGGATGTGTAGATATTGAAGAAACTGTAACTACGCACATGTTTTAATGACTGGTAGTTTGAGTTTACCTGTGTGCTTGAATCTGTTTAATAACTCATGTCTTGTATATACATCTTCTTGTGATAAGTCATTACATTTAACAGCTTTTATTGTTTAGAGATACTGCTGAGACACTTCTTTTCCTGTGAAACTGCTCTATTGACACAAAAGTCTTGAAAGAGAAATAATCGGGGTTGGGGGGGGGGAAGTTTGTTTTCCTCTGCTGGTCTATTTATTATGGAGTTTCTGCTGCTTGCTAAATAAATATGCTTTTGAAAGTAAGGCTTTCTTGTCTTTGGAAAAAAGGCATATACCAAATAAATGGACTATGCAAAACCATTCCAAACCTAATAACGATGGCAGTATCACAGGCGTATGTTGTCTCAGTAAATGACTTGAATTACAAGAATGTGTTGGGGTGAACATTTAATGTATTTGTGAACTAAAATGCTATCTGTGTATATTCCGTTGTGTAAGTATTTGCTTCTAATCCAGTGTTATTGCATTATGTAATTGTTCTCCCTGGGAAATACAGAATGGCATGCATTTTCCACAATACGTAAGTGAAACAACCCACAGCCTTTTTGCAATCGACTGGCATGCTGATATTAACCACTGCTGTTGCAGAATCTCATAACCTTCTTGCTATTTACACATTTCTCATTTTAAAATCTTTGGTGTGCCAAAAATTGAGCTTTTTCCGAGCATACATGAACTTCATAGGTGGTCTGCAGGCTCTTGACACGAATGATGGCATGGGAAATACCAAGATTATTTTTCCTTGCTTTAAACTGTACCATTTGCTGCCAGAGAGCTGGGGTGTGCGTGTGCTGCCTTTGATGCACTTGGTGAATTCTGAATGAAGATAAAAATGTTTGTGTTTGAATAACTGCATGAAACCTCACGGGCTTCTGTTACACTTGGCACTTTATCCACATTTATGGTAGATCTTGGTGTTTTGTGTTTTTTTTTTTTTTTTGTGGGGAGAGACCAATATGTCATTAATGCGTATATGAAAAAAAAAAAAAGAAGAAAATCCATGCTGACAGTTTACAAAGGGCAAGCAATAACCTGTGCTTGCTGTCTGAGGAATGCAGCCTTTCATTTCAAAGGATTTTTTTTCTTGATTTCAACAGTGATATTGGTCTTTCCCTGTATTCTGTTTTTATAGCAGGGTAACTCTGTAGCTAGAGGATGGTAGGTCCATACTCAAGCACTCCAGAATAAATTTAGTCGACATGTTTGTGTGTGTGTAGGTGTGGATACACAAACAAAACAAAAACCAAAATAATTTCCAGGATAGCTTTGCCAGCTGTGTGAAATATGTGGATAGTACACAGTCTAGATAATTCTCAATCAAGGAAATATGTTCTGATGGCAATAGATGGTAGCCAGTATTAACAGCATTTCAATGAAAAGGCAGCTGATACCTTAGAACTGAATTCAGAAGCAGCTTTGCTGATGTCCTGTTCTCAATGTTACAATTTATCTGCTTTAATTAATCCAGTATTATTAATATTTTTAACGTCCCTCTTTTCTGTATCAATAATCTCCCTGTACCAGGAAATACATATGGTCTGTGTCTTGTTGTGAATAGCCATCCCCACAGCAATAGCATGAAAATTAGACTCTTTTTTTTCTAAAGTAGAGACTAACAGGAGGTAGAGTGGATAGACAGCAAGTTATGTGAATATTTATAAGCACCAATTTATAGTCTGAAATAAAAAACAATTTTTGTTCTTGTAAGAGTTAATATTAATTTAGAAAGTGGATAATGAAACTGTAGAACAAAGAAAATGGTTAGGATATGAAGAACTGCCTGTATTTTTTTCTTTTTAAGAGTTAACAGCTGTTTTTCACATGTATGTTGCCAAGTTGTTTACGAAATGTAGCTTCACCCCAGGTTTTGTCTGATGACAGCAATCTTACTGTAACTTCATAAAAGTTAGCTTAGGTTAAGGGTAATATAAACATCTGCAAAGTTCTGAGAGGACTTTTAACCTGTTCAAATTCCCTGTACAAAGTGGGTGAGTGAGAGGGGACGTAACGTGGATATTCATGTGTAGAGTTGAACTTCTATTGAAGCGTGGTAGGAGAATCCCTATAGTGTGTACATCCTGGCTAAAGAGAAAAGAATTCCTGTAATGTCAGCAGAAGCAATGGTAATTTGGACTTCTGGTCTTTAAAATTCTCTCTTAAGATTCCTTGTGCACCATTATTTCTGACATTGAAATATAAGTATATACTTAATGGGATTTAAAAAATGCTTCTGCTTCCTGAATATTTTTCTCTCAAACTTCTCTGTGTCTCATAGTATGTTTTTTAAACAGGACACGGAGAGAACGGTAGCTTGTGGTTTAGATTAGTGAGCCAGAATCCTAACAGCTTAAAAGCAAATACATTATTACACATTTGCCAAGATTGCCTAGAAACTTTAGCTTAGGTATTGTATTCCATCTGATATAGTTTTGGATACACTCTTAACATAAGAATGCAAATCCAAGCTATATTCGGAGTAGGCTCAGTGCTACAGTTGACCCTTAGAAAGCAATGTCTTACCAGTAGGCAGCTGATCTCTTCTCCTCTCAGTTCACCACTGTTTCTCACACCAGGCACCACCTGTAATGGCCTATCCTGCCACAACGCCAACGGGAATGATGGGCTACGGGATGGTGAGTGGAACTCCTGTAACTCAAACAAGTCAGATGTTGTGTATCATTTGATTGTTTATAATTTGGTAACAGCTGCTTTTTTCTGAACTAATTTTACTGAAGACTGAATTTCAGCTCCTGTTGGTTTATTCTTCACCCACTCATTAAGTCCTGGTTTTCTGACCTAGTTCAATGGTTTTACTCTGAAATTAAGTCTGCCCTTTCTTACCTCACTTAGTTTTTCATAAACTTTTAAAAATTAAGAAAGTGTCGATTCTTGGTAGACTTTATTGGTGTTGAAATAAGTGTATCAGGTGAGCATAGCTACGGTCACACCAGGAATGTTTTATCCATGAAGTGAAACCTTTCTTAAATATTGCTCCCAACCTCAGCAAAAGGTATCTCTAATGATCGATGCTACAAAACTGCCAAGTTTGTGACACTGTCATGTGCTGTGGTGTTGGTTGGGAACTGAATCTCTTAGTGACACACCAGTCCTGGAAGGCTTTTGACATAAACCTCACCTTGCTTCTTATTGCTCTGAAAAGTTGTTCAAATTTCTGTTTTTATCTCAAATTTTTAAATATTTCTGAAATGATATTCCTTAACTCTTCTTTATTAGTATGATTTTGATGTAGCACAGCTTTGCTGGATGAATACAAGAGAGAACTTCCTCAGAACGGTTACTCTATTAGTGGCTCACAGATTAGTATACTAAAAATAAGCTAAATGTTTCATCACATAATCAAATCAGATTAATGATTTATAACTTGTATATGCTCAGTAAGTGAACTGCAAAAGTGGCCAATTGTGTTCTTGAGGGTCTTTTGGGAGAGTATCATGATCCCTATTACCCATCCATGAACTCCATTTTGATTCAGCAGCTGGGGAGGGTAACCTGTTTAGTGTATAGAAAACAATTCCTTCTTGAGAGCGGCCCTGAAGAGAAAGGACTTGGGGATGCTGGTAGATGAGAAGAGGTGAACATGAGCTGGCATTGTGCGCTTGCAGCCCAGAAACCAACTGTGTCCTGGGCTGCACCACCAGCACTGGGACCAACAGGTCGAGGGAGGTGATTCTCCCCCTCTGCTTCACCCTTGTGAGACCCCCCTGCAGTGCTGCATCCAGCTCTGGGGTCCTCAGCACAGGGAGGACATGGACCTGTTGGAGCCAGTCCAGAGGAGGACACGAAAATGGTCAGAGGGCTGGAGCACCTCCCCTATGAGGACAGGCTGAGAGAGTTCGGGGTGTTCAGCCTGGAGAAGAGAAGGCTCCGGGGAGACCTAATAGCAGTCTACCAGTGCTGAAAGGGGGCTACAGGAGAGATGGGGAAGGACTCTTTATCAGGGAGTGTAGTGAGAGCACAAGGGGTAACAGCTATAAGCTGAAAGAGAGCAGATTTAGATTAGGTATTAGGAAGAATTTTTTCACTGCGAGGGTGGTTTGACAGGGGAACAGGTTGCCCAGAGAAGCTGTGGATGCCCCATCCCTGGAGGGGTTCAAGGCCAGGCTGGATGAGGCTTTGAGCAACCTGGGCTAGTGGGAGGTGTCCCTGCCCATGGCAGGGGGGTTAGAACTCAGTGACCTTTAAGGTTCCTTCTACCCCAGACCATTCCGTAACTCTTAATCTTGCATGTTTTGTAAAGCAGCTTTCATCGTGGGGTTTAGATGCCAATGTGAAATGGAAACTGTAGCGCTCATATCCTGAGTTGCTGTTAACTTGTTCAAGGGCATGCAACATCTGAGCAGGTGTGTGAGATATGGGCCATTGCACAATGACCGGTAGGCTTTATAACTCATCCTGAAAACTGTCCTGGCTTGTCCAAACTTTACTCAGGACATTTACTTCTAGGAATCTCTGAAATCTTGACCCATTTTACAACCCTTGTGTTTGCAGTAGGAGGTACCATGGTTCTAAGAGGCCATCTAGCAGCAGGTTTTTCCCTTGGTGAGGGCATACTGGGACAGGCAGTTCCATTAGTACCTTGGCATTCCCTGGCTGCTGGTTTCCGTGTATTCAGTGTGACAGCAGTTATTTTTAACTTTTTTGTAGGGTGTTTTCATCAGGGTCAGTTTCTTGGATGTGTTCACCATGTGATTGCCCAAAGAGCAGACTGGCATGATAGGAGTTGTCCCAGGATTAGTCAAGGAAAAGCTGCTTGGAATGGGGATTGCTTCAGGAGGACTGCTGCTGGGTATCAACCCCAGCCTGAGGGGAGTGCCAAAAGCAGTGCCAGAGATGAGTGTGTATGTAAAAATAAACAAAACATGACTTCTAAGACCATTAATATATGTTAAACTCCTAATTTGGCTCAGCCAGAGCACCAGTAACACTTTAGACTTTGCATAGTGACTTGACGTTAATTGTACGTATAGTTCTCAGTTTTCAATTTTTCTTGAACTCCGTCAGCTTTGCATTGATATCTGTAAAACTGTTCTTGGGCTTTCAAAGACAGGGAAGTGCTGCCAGACCTCACTTTTGGGAGCAAGAGGACCAGCACAAATGCTTGTGCTCTCACAAGTATTTTAGCGTTTCAGATCTTTGCAGCAAGAGATTAAATGGGCTCACTTGTTACTGACAGAACTCCTTGAAAAGGCTCTCGTGTTCCTTTCTAGTAACCTTTATTTGCAGAATATTGTAAAAAGATCTTTTGTGATTGCATATATGAAATATGACTAAGGCTCTTCATTCTTTCCTTCCTCTCCTTAAATTCTTGCTATGTATTAACGCTATATGTGATTTGATGTTGTCTGGATTTTTTTTAGCCATCACAGATGGGAGGAATACCAGTAATGACACAGCCAACTTTAATATACAGCCAGCCAGTCATGAGACCACCAAACCCTTTTGGCCCTGTACCGGGAGCACAGGTGTGTATATTCAAAATAACTGGTGCTGGCAACAGATTACAGCTTGATCAGTTTCTTTAAAAGTATTTGAATATTTTCTTCTGTTGGACAAATGTATTGCACAAGCCCAGTGGTTCATGTAAGGATTATTTCCTAGCTTCTTGTGTCTGGGTTGGCAGCATCAAGTTTGTTTTACAGAAGCAAAGAGGGGTATCCTTTAGTGAAAGGATAAGAACGGTAAATGTCTGTGCTGTTTGCTGAACACAGGCTTCTTCCCCAAAGGTCGCGCTCCGTGCTGCTTTACCTCCAACTGTGGCTTTGTGAGATTGCACTATTACATCTTTTTTGACTTGTTACACTTAAAAGTATTAAACCAAGTCCAGCAGTAGCTGTAAACTTTTTTAAAGCGTAAGCTGCATGCTTACATTATTGCATTTTGGAGGGGACAAAGAGTGTATGTGGCCTTTTAAGTCTATGAATGCTATAGATGGGTTTGAGAAGAACGTGGCGTCAAATTTGGTGAAACTTCAACCCGGTTGTTCGCACTGACTGCCCTTGGTGGGAGGCACATGGCACGTTCATCTCGTTGTAACCATTGTATTCTCTCCAAAGTTCTTTGTATTCCTCTATGTTTTCACAGAAGCCAATATTTACAGCATAGTGAGGGTGTTCAACAGCTGTACAAATCTGTCTGGCCTTTCCAGGTTCAGTAGGGTGTCAGTTAAATGGAGCGTTCCTTACATCACCTGCTTTCCTGCTTCTCGTGATACGTTGTGCATAGATCCGTTACCTAACGGACTGGAATACAAGAGTGTGCTGAAGGGCTGCTCTGAACATTGAAAGGAACTGACTTTATCAGTATTGGAGTTAAATAAGTACCTTCTGTTGTTTGTTTTACAGGCTTCTGTCACTGGGAAGTTTCTGTCTGAACTCTCTTTTTAACTTCACTAAAACAGACTTTTAAATTTTTTTTAGAAGGCTTTATCTGAAAGGGACACTGTTAGATTTCTTTAGCTAGAAATGCAGTTTTCAATTTACTTTCTCTTGGACTTCCAAGAGCTGCTTTGCACATTCACCGTCACTTCAGACAAGTGATTCGATGTCTTTCACATGGTTTTTATACTATTTCAAGGTGGAAAAATGTGTTTATGACACTCCTTAAATAGAAAACAAGTGAAAGGATCCTCAAGGATTATTTTTCTGAAATTCCCAAAACATCAATTTTGAAATGTTGCTTTAAAAAAAAAAAAATAAGTCTGCTGACCTGGCTAATTCAGTGATAAACAGATAAGTAGGTCTGAGTAGTTATGTGAGCCTTTCTGCTTCATTGGACATTGCAGGGCTTGGTCTAGGCTGCATCCCAGCTGGCTGTCATAACAGGAGAGAGAGGAATTAGTCACAAGTGAGGTGTGGAGAGTTAGAGTTATTGTGCTCGGCTATTTGTCTCCTGTGAGAGAGAATTAATTTGACAGAAAACACAGCCTCTGAATCAGCATTTGCTGTGTGACCGGGAAGGTTTTCCCTGAGCCGCACAGTCTGCATTGCTTGCAGGTGTTTAGTTTTCAAAAGTCTGACACCAGTAAAGTAACTTAAATGGAACAAAGGCTGCGTGCGAGAGCTGCTTCCCAATGTACGGCAGAGATGGCATTTACTAACATATAGCCACGGGGGGGATTGCAATGTTATCACACTAAATTTACTGTATGCTTAGTCTTGAGGCTCTTCTGAGAGCATATTTGTCTGTTTAGGTTTAGTTCATGCTTTGGTTGTGTCAGGAATACAAATAGGAAAATAAAGAAATAAAATGCAATGTGATCTTTGGGTAAGTAAACCTTAAAGAATGGTTGTCTAAAAGGCACCCAGTTCAAACTGCCTCCATCCCATGTGGATACCATTATTCTAGGACAAGTTTTGTCCATGATGTAATCACTGCCAAAAAAGCAAATTGTTCTTCATATTTACATTTAAATCACCAGATTATATCACCTCTAGTCTGCTGATAGATTTTGGTTGCTATTTACAGTAAAGAAACTTGAAGGTACTTGAAAGCATAATGACAGATATGAAGTTGCCAAAAAATTACATTGCCAAGTTGTAGCATGTTGGGAACTCCTCCTACTTTGTACACAGACGGGTGAAATGGGTATCCCAATGTTGTCTGGCTTCTTTATAATTTAAACTGGTGTCTCTAACTTAGTACTCTTAAGGATTTGTCCTAATAAATACATTTTTCCTACCTCTAGACATACCTGTTTTGCCTCTCTTTCGAGTGTTCTGAGTACTGCAAACACAGAGTATTTCAGACAAGGCAGATCTGAATGGTGTATGGTTAACTGGAATATAACTACCCGTTGTAACACCTGAGTGTTGTAACGTACAACAGGAGTGCTTGAATGTTCACTGCCACCAAAACCATGATCGTGTTGGCTGATATCAAATGGTACAATACGGACAAATCAATGGGATGCCTGTGAGCGTTACATGTTCTGGTCTGATTACCCCCAAAAGGATGTAGCCTTAGGAGGGGAAGCAGCTGGGTAGTGAAAATTTTAAGATTTAAAATAGAATAAAGAAATTACTTGGCCTACTGCCAGCAGCATGTGCGTGAATGATAACACCGCAGTTGTTAACGTCACTGAACTGTGCAGAAAAAGTAGGAGTGATCGCCTGGTGACGATGAAGAGTAGGTAAATGTGCAAATGAGTAAGCTGGGATTTGTTTGTTGTTGATGTTTGGTTGGGATTTTTTTGAAACTGGAAGAACAGGGTATGAAATTCAGGACAGACTGATGCCAGAAAACAGACTTCACAGGTGCTCCTTTTGGCATGTTAATCCTAAAAAGTGTGTTAAAACAGCTTGACAGATGTGTTTAATGAGAAAACAGCACCTAGCTAATGATGGGAATCAGCACACAGCTGATGGATGGGTTCTTCTGTGTTACTGGGACTCCGGGGAGTTTGTCTTTGTTGGAAGCAGCGAGAAGTGATGACTGCTGTTGGAGGTGAGACTAAGCTTTGGGTCTGACCCAGCACAGTACGTTGCATTTCAGATCACACAAGCACTGGACAGTGAGGAGGCTAAGTCCATGTTTCTAGACGTGTTAGTGCTGGAGAAACTGGTGGCCAGTGCTGTTGTTTTAAATGCTTCTCCTTAGAAACTGCTCAGGTGGGTTCTGGTTTTCAGATATATTTATAAGCATAGATGCAACATAGGAAACTGGCTAACTATACTTCCCACAATTTTTTAGGCCTCCTTTTTAATAACTAGAGGAATCTCATTAAAATATGTATTTACTGTAAGGTACTGTGTCTTGTTTGAATTTGGCTGTGGCATCCAGGGAAGCAGCATTGTCAAGTCTCTTCCCAGTATTTAAACCCGAACTGGCTTCCTGAAATGTCACCTCTGTTTCTGGTTACGTGTTGATGTTACACAAATGACAGAGATGTAGACCTACCAGTCTTCCACACTGCTTTCAAACTGGGACATTATTTTGGACTCTATCAGTTGGAGATTTGCCAACTCAATTTAACAGGACTTTTAATATGTGACTTAAGCCATTTGGCCAGGAAGAGGAAGAATGTCTCACGAAATCAAGTCACAGCAGGCATGCCTTGCTGAAGGTATGGCTCTGTTGGACTTTAGTCTGGCTCAAATCCTGGAGAGTGGTGGGGTGTGTTGAGCTACGGCTTTCCAAAGGGAAGAACCAAGTTTAAAAGGGGAACTTCTGACATCCTGAAAATGCTTCTCAAGCGCTTCCCATTGTGTCTCATGACTCTTCCATAGTCTGTTTATGGGGACTGGATCCAGGTGCCCCCCTGGGAGTGGGGTTTCGGGAGGGAGATAAAGATTCCAACCCAGAGAGGGAGTACCGATCCTGAAAGATCGTCTTCTCCTCATGTGGTTCCTGAGATAGACATTAATGTGAAAAATTTACATTTGCAATGGCAATATTTACAGTCTGGGCACCTCTGCAAGCAGTCCCCATAAGCATGTTCCCTGTCATGTGTAGGGTTGGCAGGCATTTGGTATTTCCAAAGGAAATACATCTTCATCTGATGTTTTTTGCAAGTATACACTGCCAATTAGTGACTCCATTATGAGTAAACTGTTAAAATGATGGAACCTGAAATGGAGAAAGCTGACTTGTTTGTAACTGCAGAAACATGCAACTTCTACGAGGTAGGAAGACAAGTAGGATTTAATAAAGTACCATTTATAACTGGGAAAGCACTAACAAAGAAGAAAACAGCTTAAAAAAAAAAAGAAAAAGTCAACAAATAGCAGGTACTCCTGCAGTTCCAGCCGCAGCAGCTGGAAGGCCAGTATTACCTGCTTGTTATTTATGTGCTTTATCTCACTGAATATGTAGTGTGGTGCTTTAAATATGTGGCTATAGGATGTGATTTTTTTTTTGTTACTCTTCAGACTATTGGTCTCAGTCTTCAGTTCTCACCTAAAACAGCAACAGTTGACAAACTCATTTTTCTTCCCTACCCCCAGAATATATCCCATGTTCTCCTTCTAGACCCCACAGTGAGACTCAGCCATTTATCTGCTCTCCAGCCTCTTTTTATACGCATCCTATTTTAAGAGGAAAAGATGCCGAGCGCTATCTCTTCTGGAGAAGGCATCTGGAAAGCTGCCATGCTCTGGCCGGACCCCCAGCCTCACCTCTCCGTGCCAGTACAGAGTTTTGCTGATAAAGTGGGGAGAGCGCTAACCTGTTTCGTAGGAGTGTCAGGCTCAATGTTTTGTATCTTTTGGAGAAAGCCACTGCGAAAGTGCGAGGTTATCTGCTTATTTGGCGAATGCCAATTGAAGTTTCCTTTCTTGCAGGGTTATGTCCAGCTTGTTTCTGCATTACACCAACCACTGAAGAGGCTTTCTGTTTTCCATATGACCAAACACCTTGTTTAATGGTTGATTTCTGCCAAGTTTTGCCTCTTAACCTCCCCTTGTCCTTTCATTACACGTTCAGCTTTCATATTCTGTCATTCTGAGACCTTTTTTTCTTTTCTTTCCCTTTCTCTGTCGTCTTTCCTACTAGCTGTCTGCAGCATCCAGCCCTTCCAGTCAGAGTCCTCACAGAGCCTCAGGAAAGGATCCCTTTGCAGAGCTCTCTCTCCAGGATTTCTTGTAGAACAACTTAGGTATTGTCCATTATTCTGGGGAGATGCTGGTTTTTGTGATACAGAACAAAATTAAAGTTCCAATTCCAGTTTTATTAACATGACTAGAACTTGTTTCTGAAGAAAATAAAAACAAGTCATGTTGAGTTGGAAGCACTGTGGAAGTGACTTGGAAACTCATTATACTTGACTGCAGCAGTTTAAATTCCCCTCTGAACGGCAAGAGCCAGCACACAGGGTGCTTTGTGGCTGCTGGGGAGAAGGTACTCCCTGGCATTTACCATTTCATCAGGAAAATGTGTAGGGCTTGTGGGTAGCAGCAAACACCTGACTGCTGCTGGCAGTCTGCTCATGCACTTCCCCAGATCATTCAGGGTTCATTCACTTTCTGCAGAAGGAGGGTACTCGGTTTCATGTGTGCAAGGATTAAATTTTGGTACAGATGTGCACTGGAGTTTATCAGTTAAGGGCAGGTGGAAATTAAGATGAATGAAAATATGAAAAAAATCAAGAACACATAGTGTAAAGAAAGAGTAGGTCTTACTGCACCCAGCATTCTGCTTTCGTTGTGTAGTTCCTCTGGTTCAGCGTGAAAAGTGACCTTGAGTTCTCTCTTCATAATGATGTTGATCTGTGTTACGCTGTCACTGGTGACAATATCGCATGGATAAATAGGGTGTTTTTATTGTCGGACAAACCAGCTTAATGCAAAGAGATGTTCCTATGGCTGGTGTAGTTGGGAAAACATCCTGATGGCTTTTTGTTGTTTTCTGGCCCTGATTTTGTAATTTTTTTATTTCTGTTTGAAACTTCAGAACTTGGGATAGCTTATGCATTTGAAGAATGGAAATTTTTGAAGAAAACACAGGTTTATAGTGAAGTCCTACTTCTGTTGGATGTTAACATGAGGGTTTTTAATCTTTCCAGATTCAGTTTATGTAACTGTGTTAGATGGAAGAGAAAGGAACGTTTCCAAAAAGATGTGCTCACCAGTGAACCCACACTTCCAGGAGAAAATGAACTTCAGTCTCTCAAACTCTCCTCTTCCATTAAATGATGCAGTGAAATGATGAAGAGCAATGAAGGAACCTGGGACAACTCCATAAGAAAACATCAATATACGATAAAAGCCAAGAATTGCCATGAATTAAGACTAAGGTCTATTTTTTGTCCTGGTGACTAACACGTCAGTACTTTCAGCTTCTAATACTATCCATAATCGAGAACACACAAAGAGAAGCCTTTATTCTGGAAATTGAGATTGGTGTTTGGAAATGATGTCTGGAGCGGAGATGTGTCCTTTACCGTAACTTGAAACACGACTTTGGGCAGGGGAGGGTCAAATCCTAACTCTTAATTCTGCAGTTACCTTTTCTTCAGTCCTCACAAATGTAGGCACAGCAGTAATGGAAATTAACTTTTTTTAAAAAATTATATATTTAGTTTGCAGTAGACATTCCTTATGTATTATTGTTTGTATTTATTTATGATTATCAATTTAACATTAATATTGTATCAAAAAAACTCCTTATGAAAATGAGTATGGATGTATACAGTATGTCTGATTTTTATCCACAAAGAATGAATCTGATTCAGAATGCTTTTCAGCTGACATACAGAGCACTAAATATTTTAAAGGTCTGAATCTAATGAATTCTCAGTATATATGGGAATTAGGGAAGAGCTGTAAAATGCATTAATCCTTATAGTCAATTCTGTGCCTAGGATTTTGCAAGGGAACAGTTAACTGACTAGAAGAAGCACTACATTTTTAATTCAGCATTAGTGCATTGGGAAGGAACTTTATTGCTTTGTGCTTGGCATGTCACTATTTTTTACATTTGACAAGGCCTTTCCAAAATGAATGTGAGGAATTGCTTTCACTTTAAGACTTTCCTTCTTTTCTGTAAAAAAAAAAAAAAAAAAAAATGAGGGGGGGGGGGTTGGGGGGGGCAGCCTTT